TTCTATAACAAGCAACTTACGTTTTCTTAAAGAGAAATCCATTAAACAAGTTATACCCATCCAAAACAGTACCATTTTCAAGAGAATAAAAAATATAATCAAAAGAAGGATCATCATGGTACAAGGTTTTAATAGGCTCAAATCTAAGTAGTTTATAGCATTCAAAGTCTTAAAAAGAGCATACCTTCGAGACAAAGCATCAACAACTACATTCTCTTTACGCGACTTCCAACATAAAGAAAAAGGCGGAAGTAGGAAGTCACATGCAACATACGTGACTTCCGCTTAATCATCTATCATGTCAAATAGGTGGTCCCTCTCTTCTCGAGAATCCATACATCCCTTATCAGTATATGGACAGCTATCTCTCGAGCACAGGTTTAGGTTCGGCCTCAATGGGAAACGAAGCACCTAACAACGTATCTTCACAGACCAAGAACTACGAGATCGCCCCTTTCATTATGGGGTGACGAAGGGATCGTACCATTCGAGCATTTTTTTCATGTTTTTCCCAGAGGTCTGGAGAAAGCTGCAATCAATAGGATTTTCTTAATCCTCCCTCCCCGAAAGCGAAAGGAAGAACGTGAAATTTTTTTTCCTTTCTTCCGCAGGGACCACAAGATTTGCACAGAAATCGCAGACATTATATGCGAGTTTTGACTTTTAGTTTGACCTAACATATTTTTGTCAATAATTTTGAAAAGTTACCATACTTTTGTATTTATTTATTTAAATTACATTTATTTTGTTATTATTTTTAAACTACCATTATTTTTGTAATTTATTTTTAAAACCATATTATTTTAAAACTTTGTCCCCTCTATATTTTCCAAAACATCATTTTGTTACATTGTTTTTGATGAAAAAAGAAAAGAAGGAAAAAGGAAAATAAAACAAAAAAAGGAACCCTAAGTCCCTTTATTCTACTTCCCTCCATAGCATCCCCCCGTTTTCCAGCCGCTTCCCACCTCCGGCGAGACCACGGGCATTTTCTCGACATCAGCGACGGTGTCTCTGTGATTCCTGGCGTCCCACGGCGGCACAATCCACTGATCTGCTGCAGATTCCGGCGATTTCTTCCCTCCACGGTGGCTGGCGTGTTCTGCAAACTGCAGCAGCGACTGG